AAAAAAAAAATTATTGGAGCTTGGATGGGATGTGTTGCCACACCCACCAAAAAAAAAAAGACTAAGAAGTATCGACTTAATTCAATCATTCATTCAACATTCACTAGTTATTTACTATGTAATTACTCTGAATTAGATACTATGCTAAGGGCTTTGGGAACTTTACAAAAATAATTGAAATACAGATGTACACTTATATACAATACAATATATACTATAAGTGGTGAGAGAGGGGTAAGTACATAAATACATGAACAGACCATAGAGACAGGCAGGATAGAGGATGTACGTCCAGCCTTTTATCAAGGTAAAAAGGTTAGATCAGGAAAGAATCCATGAAGATGACAGATGACTTGGATCTTGATTTGGAATCACCAATACTTGAACACTCATCCATGTCTCCATTTGTTCTGCCTTCCCATTTCTTTGATATGGACGATAGGCATTTTGTAAATTTTATGTAAAGTGCTAAACAAAGGTAGCTTTGGGTCTTATTCCCACCCCTTCCAATTAATTTGTCCCCATAATCTCCTCCTATACAGAAATTCTGAAGCCAACATTAGTTGTGTATATCAAGTCTCTTGAATCCACTTATTGTATACACACTGTAATAATTCCCACTAGCCCTCACTTTGGCCATAATAGATAGTAAATCCACTTGCAAATATTATTCACTATTGTAATATAGTGAATGAGATTAGTCCTATGTAAGGACAGACAGTGATAAGATCTCTGAAGACGGGCCCCGAACCCAGACTTGAGGGGCCAGTAAAGGCTTTTTGGAGAAAACAGTGCCTGTGCTGCATCTTCAAGTATATATACAATTAAGCCAGTTTCGGTGGGAAGAAAGTTGAGTGCGAAAGCGGCCCTGTGTGGAGAATGAGAGTGAGGAAGAGGTGACTAGAACAAGAGCTTTAAAAAGTCTGCCTGGGGATGGAGTAAAAAGGTGTATACATGAAGCTGAAGCCAAAAAGTAGATGGTGGTGCAAGGTGCCAGACCAAGGAGTCTGGACTTCTTCCCTGAAGTTTCTGAAGCAGCACTGGAGGTTTAAGTAAGGCATCGGCACCAGAGACGTCTCAGCCACCTCATCCCCACGCAGTGAATTTCTCCTCACCTCAGAGTCTTCTCACAAGAAAAACGGGGAGGTTGGTTTATGATCTAAAGACTCATCTAGCTTAATGTTCTTTGACTATGATGCTAAGAAGCAGAAGACCCACTCTTTAGAGCTACTTCGCAATTACAAGTTTTTTTTAAATTCTAGCTGCCTCAAGAATAGCTTAATTTCTAATAATTTTTACTTTTCTTAACCACGGGATAATCGTTTTTGAGTCTATTTCTTTTTTTCTGATACAAAAATTCACTTTCCTAGCAAAGAAGTTCAAGCTTTAGGGGACCCCGAAATGCTCCCCTGTGGGGAGGCAGCATGGCATCATCAAATTAGAGTATATTTCGGAGCCAGTCAGATCAGGGTACTTCACGGGCTGTATTGACTAGGAGCATGCTATTGTTCAAAGCCTCAGGTTTCCCTTTGATGAAAAAAAGAAACAAACAAACAAACCCATAGTGACTGGTTCACAGAAAGGGCTTAATAAATATTGGTTTCTTGCTCCGATACCATTGTGGTTCTTCCCTCATCATAAACAGCGTTTTTGTAAACAAAACATTCTCATTTGACCATGTTTGCTTCGGATCCCTCACAGTGTTCTCACTGGCTGATGTCCGTTATAACCTGGCTGGTCTGTTCTCCTCACTGACCCTGACCAGCCTTCTGAGTTACGTTGCAAGCAGTTCTTTTAAAAATCATGTTTAAATATTAAATTCAGAAGCTAATTTTAACAAATCTTGTTTACCTCCTGGTTCCTTCTGAAACACCCCAAGTCCCGCGGTAGGCTCCATCTTTAGTTTTCCAACAATGTGCCTTAGTTTTATTGATACTAACATGCAGTTTTAAAAAAAAATCAATTCATCTACTCAGCTAAGTTATGTGCCTTTGGGGAAACTGTTTCAAACAACTGATTGAATCCATCTGTTGCCTTCTCTACTTCAGCTCCACAGTATGGATGGGATTTCTTAGATAGTGGAAAAGATAAATGTATAGAAAAGTATATAAATAAATTCAATTAAACTCATTCTTAACAAACCTCATTCAGGCTATGCATTAAAGGTTTTAATTAAATGCTGAGCACTAACTAATAATCTGACTTGGTAACTATTACCTACTTCCAAAATAGGAGCCAAGGTCCTCACAGTGGTAATACTTGAATGAAACCTGCATCTTCTAGTCTCAAACTTAGCTATCTTTTAAAAATCATATCATGACCCACCCCCACCTACAGATCAATCCCTGAACTCTGTACTGCTCCCCTCACCCCATCCCCTTTCTGCCACCATTCTATAACTTTTCTCTTTGGGACAAAGAGAGAGGCAACTGAGTTTGTAAAGAACAATGCTAAGGTTTAGAGGTTGGAGTGGGGACTCGCAGGAGTGGTGTGCAAATCAAAGGCTATTTTAGTTGTTCCTTTTTGTAACTTACCCCAGGGTAGGTATCCTGTTTGCCATGGCTATGTTTTAATTCTAGTTTAAAAGGTGTTCTAAGTTAGAGCATGTCACAACTCTTAAATCAACATTTTAATATCTCTCTCAAGCTCTTCGTGGACCAATTGTAAATAAACAAACATATATTTTAGAAAACCATTAAAATTATGAATTATATATTTTATATGTATGAAAAAACATTAAAAATTGGGAAAATAAAGTAAGAAGAAATATTACTTACAATCCCATTACCCTAAGCCTACCACAAGCTCTGTTAACATTTTGGTGCAATCTTTTCCATTCCACTTTAGCTTTTTTGTTTAACATGAGAGGTTATTTTTATAGTTTTCATCAAACTGTACATCTAATTTTATATCTGAAATAATCAGTGATTTAGAAAACAACTTTTACCATTTGGCAATTCTATAATAACTGATTCAGGTGTGAGTTGTCAAAGGATGCTAACACTATTGGGTAAAAGTTTAAGGAGTGATAAGATATTTACGTAGTTTCAAATTAGCTCTCCACAAAATACTAATCACAAAGGAAAAAATAGTAATGTTACAGTGGAGTACCACGTGATCAAAGTTAACATCACCATGTGTTTTCTGATATGATGCACTGAGAAGAGTATCTCCTGTGGTATTCTTACCCAAAGTGCATAACCAGAATCTAATTATGAGGAAACATCAGATAAATCCAAATGAAAGATAATATAATTGGCCTGTACACTTAGACAATGTCAATGTCATAAAGTGTGCACATAGCACGCACATGCATGCGTGCACACACAAGACGAAGGAACTGTTGCCTGATCCTGGATTTTCTTTTACATAGATGACATTATTAGGACAACTGGTAAAATAGAAATCAGGTTCATGGATTAGATAATAGTATTCGTGCTAACTGCCCGATTTTGATCATTGAACTCTGGTTAGTAGAATTTCCTATTTTTAGGAAATATGCACTAAAGATTTGGAGGCAAAGGAGTATCACATTTGCAACTTACTCCAAATGGTTCAGAAGGCAATGTCTACACACTCACGTATACTAAGAGAGAAGAATAAAGCACGTGTGGTTAAATGTGAGCAGTTGGGAATTTGGGTAAAGGATACACACGAGAATTCTTTGCACTATTCTTATAACTTTAAATCTGAAATTATACCAAAATATAAAGTTAAAAGAAAAAGAATACCTTAATTTTTATTATGAAAGTAATACCATTCATTGAAGAAATTTCAAAAATAAAGGAAATATATAGAAGAAAACAGGAATCAGTCCACACCTCACAAACCGGAGGTAACCATGGTTTACATTTTGATATACTCTCTTTCTGTCTCTTATCTACAAGGAATGTTTCTTATCCTTAGATTTGACTTAAATTGTGAGACGCTGCATAATGTCTTAATCTTAGTTAATATTCAAAATATCTCTGTTGTGAAAGCCAGAACTATTGTCACTTCATAGATGAGGAAACGCAAATTCAAAAAATTAAACTATGGGTTTATTCTTAACAGTTTATCAGTTCACATCACATAACAGAAAAAAGTAATGCCACTACATAGCTGGTTGACTGCGACTCATAAACTGGCTACAATTTAGTTCCTGTAAAATAAGTTTGGAAATGATTTCAAGGATTCCTTCTAACATTAAAATGCTACAATTCTAACCTATTCTATTATCACCAGCTTTTTTTTTTTGTATACACAATCTGTAGTGCCTAGCACAGTGCCTTATACATAGTAGGCACTAGATAAACACTTTTTAAATGAATAACAAATGCCTTACAAATTATAAAATGGATAGTTATGCTATAGAGGTAATGAGGATTAAATAATATATGTAAGTATTTTA